AGAGAATAGCTCGCTGCCACCTCCTCAGTGCTGCTGTATAGGAAGTGAAGTGATGGTACCCGAGACCCGGGTTTCGGGAAGGAGAACAGAGCACTGTCCTCATGCACCAGCTGAGGACAATGGCACTGGTGTGACTTCTATTGGCCAACAAAGGCGTGGTGCCTTCAGGTTGGAGACTGCTATTTGTAGCTTGGTGTCAAATGCTTAAAGTGTATCAGTAAGAGAAAAACCATTCTGCTGCCTTATATTAGGCAAAAGGAAGAGGAGCTCACTTAGTTCCAGGAGCTTAGTGAATAAGCAACCAAAGCAAAGGACTGTGTTTGGGTGGAAGGGGGTTATTTATTCATGAAGAAACGTACTGAGTGCGTAAGGGCCTTCCGGTACTGTCTTAGCACTGGTGAGGTGGTTAAGGAGCAAATAGGTCCCATTAAAAAGTGGAAGCCACTTTTAGGGAGATCATTGTTTACCTCCTGGACTCCAGCCACCTTAAGGATTTGCATTATCAACCTCCAGGGCATCTAACCACAGTGCACCACATTCCCAGTCTGTCCTGTGGGCCACCATGCACATACTGTGGTGATTTGCCACCATTCTCATGGTGGTTATCAACTTGTCAACTTGACAGGATCTAGAATCACCCAGAGACAAGCTTCTGGGTGTGGTCAGGAAGGACTTTATTGATGAGGTAAACTGAAGTGGAATGAACTGGGGTTCTAGTCTCCCAAAATTGAGAGGGGAATCATCTGGGGCCAGCATTCTTCACCCTCAGCTCCAAGACTGTAGATGTCACGTGACTGAGCACCCCAGCCTCCTGTCGCCGTGCCTTCCTCACCGTGGTATACCCTGTGCCCCGGACTGTGTGCAGAGATAAACTTCCTTCCTTGGGTTGCTTGATATTTTGTCACTGTGACATGATAAGTAACCAGAACAATCTTCATCATCACCATTATGTCCCCCAGCCACAGCTGGGCTCCCTCGTGGTCTTCTAAGTTCCCTATGGTCTGCAATGATTAACAAGCCTTAATTCTTTACTCTTCTTGAACATCTCAATAGTTAGTTGCATCATCTTACTTTTTTAAGTTGAAGCAAAAAAAACCCTTTACAACCATTTTGAATTTTCTTCTTGACTATATGCAATATATTGTAAACACACAGACACACAGATGCACACACACATAATTATGATTGGTTTTAATGTCAACCCGCCACATATTATAATCACCTGAGCATGGAGCCTTACCTGAAGAACTCTCCTGATTGCTTTAATTGGTTGATCGACGTGGGAAACCTGCCCAGACTTCGGCTGGCACCTTCAGTTAGCAGCCTGGATTTTAAGAAGTGTTTCAGAAGGAAGCTGGTCTTGCCCGTTGTTCCCTTGGCCTCTCTCTTACATTGAGTTGTTTGCCCATTGCTGCTGCTGCTGATTCCTTCACTGATGGCAGAAGCAGCATTTCCATGCTTTTGTGGGATGGGAACTTTCTGGTTTCTGACTTTAGAGTGGCTCTATTGAAGCACTTTCTTGTGGGTTGAGTAACTATAGATCATCACCCTCCCTGCCAGTGAGAAACAGCAGTTCTGGGACTACTCAGACTGCTGAGGCAACTAACCTCAAGTACTGAGTGACTACTGGGTTCTTGCATCTCATGGGTCATTTGGCTGCCATTACTTAATATATTCAGATAGATAGATAGATAGATAAATAGATAGATAGATAGACAGATAAATAGATAGATAGATAGATAGATAGACAGATAGATAGATAGACAGATAGATAGATAAATAGATAGACAGATAGATAGATAGATAGATAGATAAATAGATAGATAGATAGATAGATAGATAGATAAATAGATAGATAGATAGATAGACAGATAGATAGACAGATAGATAGATAAATAGATAGATAGATAGATAGATAAATAGATAGATAGATAGACAGATAGATAGATGGATAGATAAATAGATAGATAGATAGACAGATAGATAGATAGACAGATTTTGTTTCTCTAGAGAACCCTGACTCTCCCTCACCAACTCTAGTCCCCCCTCCTACCATCAAGTTTTCCTGTTTTGGAGAGAACAGTCTGTGCAGATGGCCACAGCTGTTACACGCTCTTGTTTGCAATGGTCACATCACAGCTAGAAGGCAGTATTCCACAGCCCTCTTCCCCATCCTGTGGCTCTTACAGCCTTTTCGCTCTCTTGCGATGTTCCCTGGACCTCAGCGGGTAATGTGGATGTCCTTTTTAGGACTGGGCACTCAACATTTGTTATCAGCATTTTGACTAGCTTATGAATCTCTGTGTTAGCTGTCACCCACTGCCAAGAGAGGTTTCTCTGACTAATGCTGAGAGCTGCACTAGTCTATGGTTATAAATATTTAGAGAGCAGTTTAAGTACATGTCCATTTAGCAAAACACCAGTGATAAATCCCCCCACCCTCACAGACTATGGCCTCCCTAGCCAAAAGATTTTGACCAGGTTTACAGAGTCAGTCATGCATGAGCTACTATAGAGCAGGCCTCAGATCCAACCGTAAAGTGGTTGGTTATCCCCTGAACAATCATGCCACTGTTGCGCCAATGGGCATATATTGCTAGGAGGCTGATACTGTAGTACAGGCGGTCTACAGATGGGTGAGGATGTTGATGACTTTTGTTCCCTAATAGCCTACATACTATCTTATGGAGTCCTAGCTAGCAGGTGGGAAGCTTCTAGCTCAGTTCCAGCTTCAATTCTCTGTGTGCTTTATCCAAAGTACACGATATCATCAGCAATAGGGTCTGACTACTTAGGTCTTATCCTCATTTTACAAACCGAGGCAGACATATATGAGACGGTCAGTATGACAATACAGGCAGCTGGGCTCCTGAGTTTAAGTATTTTTCCCATTCTACATTCACAATGCTCCAGACCCTCACACAACATTGCAATCCCAAAGAACCATGTGTTTTCATGGCCTCTCATTAGGGTCCACCCTGGTTTTTCTTCTAAACCACATGTGTTAGGTGCATTTGTATACCCATGACCATGACACATGAACAAATCTTGAAGGAGGAAATATTTATCTTGACTCATAATTTCAGAGACTTTTCTCCATGGCCACTGGGGACAAACATCATGGTGATTTAGGCCTGTGTGGAGGAGTTTCCACACATCAATGGAGTACAGGAAAAAGAGAAAACTAAGTATAGAAGGGCCCAGAATAAAAGAGCTCAGTGATTAGCTTCTCCTTAGTAGCCCTTAACTCTTAGAGTTTCTAGATCTCTTCAAAATGGCACTACCACATCCAACACAGGACCTTTGAAAGTATACCCCTCATACAAATTATGGCAATCTAAGAATCTTCTCCTACTAGGATGGAAAGTCTCCCACTGGAGCCAAGATCAAGTAAACACATGCCATTCGGGATTCCTGTCATCTTGCTGGATCACACAATAAAAAGACCAACAAGGACCTGTGCATTTCCCAGAGGGTTGTCTAAACGAATGACCTGAACATGAGGCTCAGTGTGTCCTTCACCTGAAAAGACTGGGTAACAAGAAAGAACAAATATGAAACATTTTTGGCTAATTTTATTAACATTTGATCACTATATGCTGACTGGGAAGGTAAGTCATAGCATAACTATTTGAGAAGTTTGTGACTTCAGAGGGAGAAGCCAGGTGTTTATCAAACCAGGACTTTCATCATTGTATGTTTGATAAACCTTTCTAATAAGGTCATAAACATTACTGTGCATAAAATTCTGGCATACTGTGATAAAGGAAGGACATCTGTTCTCACCATGTGACTCATGGGAAAGCCGAGAAAAGAAAGGGAAATTGGTAAAGACACTAGAGCTAGTTTCCTGATTACTCAGGGTCCTTACTCATTATGGAAGTCACCTCAGGGTGACTTCCCTGAGGCCAGTTCATCAGACATATTTTGAAAGCACTAGCATCTTGGCTTCAGGTTAAGTTGGAACAAAGTGAGGTCTATGACTATGTCTTCTTCACCATCCTCAGTGGTCCCTTTAAATCTCAGAATGCAGCAAGTCCCAACAAGTCCCTGTGAAACACAGAACTACACTAACATGCTTCTTTTAGGCATTGCACAAGCTCTGGCAGCTAGACTTCTATCATTTGTTCACATTAATGTACTTGGCAATCACACAGAAGGGCTTTTAAATCTAATGGCTCAGACAATAACAAAGAAGATTCCATGAGCATTTTAAAATAATGGGGCTATGACCCTCTTAGGTATACTATACTGCCTCATCCATGGAGTATCCTGGAACTGAGGTATGTCACACATTCATACGGTATGTCATATTCAGGCTGTTATTTCTGTCCAAGTATAGAAGTAGGAGTCAATAATTCATACAGCATCAGCTCCTAAAAATGTAAATTTGAGTCAGTGTGTGTGTGTGTGTGTGTGTGTGTGTGTGTGTGTGTGTTGCATCCATGTGTCCCCACCTGCTTATGTACCTTAGGCCAGCACTGGGTTGAGACCAGCCAATGGGTACTCAGTTTCAGTAGAGCTGATCATGAGGGATCATCAGACTGAATCACAGTAGTAGGAGGACTTTATGTGCTTGCACTGTGCTCTGTTCTTCAGAAGTTCCAAAGTCACTTTTGTTCTTCATTGGAAATGGTCAAGAAGGTTCCCCATTATACCTGTCTGTCTGTCTATCATCAATCATCTATCTATCTAATATCTCAGTAATCCTAATGCTAGAATGCAGAGCCAGAAAAATCACTGCAACTCAATGCTCAGGTAGTCTTGCTGAACTGGTGAGCAACAAGTTCAATGAGAGAGCTTGTCTCAAAAAAAATGTGGTGAATGAACGATGAGAAAGACACTCAACACTGATCTCTGATCTTTGCCTCCATGTATACATACGTACATGCACACAAACACCCCAAATGTGCACACATGTACCAAACACACACTTTTTGATTGTACACAAAAATAAAAGTTGATAAAGCAAATCAAGATGATTCCCATTCACTGTGGGTTTTATATAAACATTTAGCTAATGTATTATACAGAAAATTCGTGAAAGCCACTCAGTTTGCCCATATACATTCAGGTGTTTTTCTTTTTTGTTCTTTCAGTGATGAATACAGTCCATTTCCAGGTGATGCCATCCGTGGTCCTCTTATCAGTGTCAATAATTCCATTTGGCAGGCAGCAGCTAATTCTTTTCATGTGCTAATGATTAATCAGACAAGCCTATTTACTAATGTATCAGAATGCATTAGAAACATAAGGTAACAGCGGACAGAACATCAATTCAAATATAAATGAACTACATTTCCATTGGATACCTATTGACTCATGTCACAGAATGAAGTAGAAAATGCAATTTACTTGTAAACCATTAAAATGAATGAAAATAGAATTTCAAACTCTATCTTCAAACATAACTTTATTGACTTGGCTCTGAGCCTTAAGGGAGGGTCTAACTAAATTTAAAATATATAAATAACACACTAACTCATTTTGCCATAAAAGAGTTAGTATCCCACTAGCTAAATACGATGGAATTTACTGAAGTTGGAGCCAGTACAAAATAAAGCAAGGTCACAGAGTGTAGAGGAGGACATAATAAAGTTCTCACATTGGGCTTTCTGAATTGAGCTCTCCTCTAACATATTTTTGTATAAAATCTGGTGTCAGTGCCTGTTCCAAGGGTATAACCATATTTTGCAAGCCAAAAATGCCAAATGGAGCTCTCATGAGAGAGAAGCATAAAAGGGAGAGGGTTAGCTTAGGTACTTGTATAACAGCAATCCTTATACAGACAAAAAAACAAACAAACAAAAAACAAAAAATCCACAACATCAAAACAAAAAACCGGAAAGCAAGCTCTCCATACTCTACACCAGGACTGGGCAATCCAGAAGGTGATATTGTAAGATATTCAGAGGACTGTGACCAGCAGCTTAAGCACTGAAAAGGAGTGGGGTTCAAATCACTATGTGGCAAAGTTATCTGTGTCACTGGTATTGAGATCTTGCCTATCCATTTAGATGTGTCTAAAATACAAAAGATTTCATGCAGATTCTCTTGAGTCCATCTGAACACAACAAATCTGATGAGCTTTGGAGCTGCCAAAGAAATAGAATCTTTTCTCCAAAATTGGGTTTTCTGCATCCTTGAGTTCAACCAAACAGGTATTGAAAAGATTGCTCAACAATGTCATCCATACAGAACGTGTGCAGACTTCTTGTTTTCAAACAGCATGCGGCAACAATTGTGTGTGTGTGTGTGTGTGTGTGTGTGTGTGTGTGTGTGTGTGTTTGTTGGGGGGGTCTTTGCATTGCATAGGTAGTAGGTATATCAGGGATTATTGACAGGACCTGAGAGGGTAGACTTTGGTTACATGTAAACACTACATCTTCAGAAGTGAGGGACTTGAGCATCTGCAGATGTCTGTGAGGGGTCTGGAGCCAATTTCCCAATGACACTGAAATGGTTGGTTTACTGAAAGCCTAAGTTCTTGTTTGGATCGAGGACAACTAAATCCAGCCAGTGGTCAACAGCTTATAAGTCAGACTCTTGCGCAGTTGCTGGAGTTTTGAAATTGTGATCTTGAGAGAGCCCAGGAAGACTGGAGAGGGTAGCTGGGGGGGGGCGGGATTTCAGCCCACCTGATTTCCTTTACTTCAGACTCAATGGCAAGGTTCTGGTGTGCTGAGATGTCCAGCCAAACCAGTGTTTACAAAGCACACTGCTCACAGTTAGTGAGGAGAATTATGCTGATGATTTTCATGACCCCCAATGTTCCAGAAAGCCAACCTTAGCTTCTCTCCCTAGCCCATTGTCAATTCTCAGATCAACAGCCCTGAAGAGTCCTGTGGTAAAGAAATCTCTAGAAATCTAGAATCTCTCAGGTTTAATTAGCCTCTGGGATGCTTCCTTCCCATAAATGGAAAATCAGCATCTGTGGAACTCCACTTTGGAAATAATGGTGATAGTTAGCAGCCTGGGAACAAAACGCAACAGAACACACCAGCTAAAGGGACACAGGGAAGAACTCAGTGCTGTTAGATTTCAAATGGGTGCTCCTGTCTGTGCTACCTCAGAAGGCAGGTTTTTGCAGCCCTTGCTCTTGGTCTTAAGACTATTTTGTCCTGAAATAGAACCCTGTCACCCAAATTTACATTTATCATTCACAGCCTTTCAGAGTCTGTGCTGCAATTACCACTGTCTGCATTCTGCTATCTTATGTTACCAATACCCTTTGCACGGAGGCATCCATGCAAAAGGAACGCTGCTGTAGGTACCCTCAAGAAGAAATAGTCTGCAGCACAAATGAAGTCACTCGGAGGGTCTCTGTGCAGGTGTTACTGCTGTTAGGAGCTAAAAATCCAGGGTAGCTTCATCTGTTCCCTAAAAACATGAAGATCCAAGCAGTCTACTCACAGCATCAAACCTACAAGGACAATGGTCAGAATGGTAAATTGCAAATAATCTGACCTTTGCTAATAATATAGCAATTTAAAGTGCAGCTTTAATCAAGGGGGGGGCATTTCCAGAATTTGACAATCTTTTCCATCTTCCTGATACAGACTGCATTAAAAAAAAGAAGAAACTGTCTAATGCTGCTTCTTAGGTGGTGTTCAATAAGAGCTATCTATAATGCAATGCACTCTCTTTATGCGATGTTTAGATATGAGATTGATCTTAGTGGACACCCTGGAGTTCTGAAAGTAGGATTATTGGATTTTGTGGCTTTCTCAGATGTGGAAGATCTTTAAACAGTGTCTTGCAAAGTTGCTACATCTCGTCTGTCTGTGAAACACTTGTGAGCTCATCAAAGAAGGTAGACTCCATGGTAATTATCCGGGTGGGCTGGGTTAGGAGGAGGCAAGCCCCTATCTTGAGTTAAGTGGCAGGACCAAGTCCACTTTCATACCTTGAAAAGAAAAATGAGTTCCTCCATCTGGGGATCAATAGGCCTTAACAGGAAGGTTACTGACACAGGATGGGATCAGGAATTCAAAATAGCAGCGGGCACAAAAAGACCTAGGGGCTACCACTGAAGTCTCCAGGTGCCTGGGGATGACTCTAACAGGCTTAGTGTTTGGATGAATCAGTTTGGAGCAATAAAATGACGTTTTGGTCTCATGGGTTATGCTTACATTTCAGAAAAGCAAGAACATCATACGTTTCCTCTGACTTAGAGGCAACTTGGAAAGGACATTGTCACAGCCCACTCTCTGCCCATGCTTTTGTCCTGGCTGTGAACATCAGGTTTGCAAGTGAGCTGGGTGTGACTCTCTAAGACTAGAACAAGGGTTCTTGGGACACAGCCACCTGTGGATTGAGGACTCTATAAGCCAGGATGGGCTTCTATAGTTGTCATGAAGTGACAGCCATCCTTTGCAGTGCTAAGACATTAACCAATCAGCAAGCAGTAGAAATTAGAATGGAGAGGATTCACATTCTTGGTTTTTCTTCCAAGTGCTTGTTTAAAACCAATGGCATTCATATTCATGCCTATATGCAAGTATGGCATAAAACTGTATCTGATCTGGCACAAATTCATTACATGCTCTTAGTTTCCATTTATGTCTATGCAGCACAGGTATTTTGAACATTGCCATGGGGCCCCTGTGTTGGCTCTGGTATCTTTTCTTTGATATCTGGAGACAACAAATTTTGCCTGATTTTCCACTCTCTTTAGATGTGACTTTCATCTATACCCACAAGCCTTCTTCTCATCTTCTGCAGCTTGTACTTTGGACTCTCAAGAGCTGATTGTGGAATCCTTTTTTTTTCTTTCTCCCTATTCTTAAAAAGTGAGTGCATTCATCATAGATGAATGAGTAGGCAAAGGCTAAAGAGGAAAAGGAACTATCCCAGATGTCTTCAAGCTTCCCATCCCTTTATTATAGTATTTCACAAAGTGCCCCATGAAACGCACAGTTCTAGGGACTGTGGCTCTTGAACATACTTTGAACATCAGAAGTAGTCTCAAGATAGTTCCTGCTGGATGAACAGAACAGTGCTGAAAGATACTGACTACAGTACCAGGAGCTATGGTGGGTGAATTTTGAAGCCCCAATATGTACCCAGAGAAGCATGGGAGTTTCATCTCATGAACAACAAAATTGCTCTTCTGTGATTTGTTTCAGGGTGATTGGCTTCTAAGCAAGAAGGAAGACAAAAGGCTGTAGATTTCAGCAAGGGAAGAACTAAATTTGGGGTTAAATATTCTGGACCAAAGACTTGCTTAGCTCTTAGGAAAGTGTGCAACATTGAGCAAGCAACCACCAGTTATTCTGCAACCCCAGTCTTCCCACCTGGTACATGGTGACTGTCACCTCTTCCCCAAACTGATGGCTCCATAATAATGAACAGATAAATGTCCTGGAAATTATAACACATTACTCTCTCCCCAAAGTTCTCATCCAGGAAGAAATAGTAGAAGAATCAACATTATGGGAGCCATGCCTGCAAACAGAAAGGAAGTGACTGCAAACCACCCCATTCAGTCTTCAGGTGGGGTCTGGTATCCCCACTATGCTCCAGGTTTCAGAAATGTAGCATGGAGTCAGGGAAGGATGGTGTCCCCTGTAGAGTCCACATCCTTGAAGAAATACAAAAGTCACTTTAAATCTGCTTCATGGATGTTTCCATACTGCTTTGTTCCTAAGGAGAGGGATGTAATTTAGACCGATCCAGGCAAATGCCTCCATCTCCTATGCATGCCACAGCTGTACCTCCAAATGTGAGTCAGGCTCCCACAGAGACAGTAGTGATGCTGTTAAAAATTTTAGACAGTACCCTCTACTCCATCCCCACTAGAGCAATGGGCTGTGTATACACCCCAGAAAACAGCATTTTGAATGACTATGCACACTAAAACATATAGGCCCAAATTTGAGGCTGGTGATAATGACAACTGTAAATTTTTGAGGTCATTAAATCATTCTTTACATGTGAAAAGGCTTCTTAAGTTTTAGATGTGCCTTTATACATTCAAATCCACCATTGTCTTATGAAGTATGCATTGTTCCATCTCCAACTCACACATGAAAAGTGGAACCAACAAAGGCAAGTTTATTCAGAGCACAAGCACACAAGCCCTGATCTATTCAGTTGAACACACTAAGTCATGCCTCCAGGGAGCAGACAGAAGGAAACACAAGAATGTGTGGTGTCCCTGTCCTAGTTAGGATCTACTCCAAGTTTGCAGCTCACTGTACTGGCTGACTGCTCAGCCTCTGCACTGAGGCAAGCCTTCTCTTCCTTTTATTCCATTATGTGTTTCTGCTTGAGATGCATTTGGGATGTTTAATTTATACCCCCTGATCATAAAGTGATCACATCATGAAGAAGGCTGCAGTGTTGATTTATAAGATCGTTGTCTATGTCTGTTAATTAGAGAAATATCATTTGGCTTCCGACAGAAGAAAAACAATAAATTATAGAGGAGGAGGGAGAGGCAGTTGGCCCCTAAACCTATGTGAGTTCCTAGTCTTGAATCTTATTTATGATCCTAACTGATTTTACTCCATTTATATCAACAACCATTAGGGAAAAAAATGTGTTTCAGGCTGAAGAGGAAGGAGGAGAAAGAAACAGAAAGGCGGGAAAATAAATGCAGAAACAGTGTCTGTGTGCCTGTTGTACATAAAACCCTCTTTTGATGGGAGAAATGACAGGAACCAGGTGCTGAAGGGCTTGATATAGAATTGCAAACATGCCATGAACTATAAAGAAAGGAGGTACGTGAGACCACAAGAGGCTTCTGGGAGATAGCGAGTTCAAGGTTAATGCTTGAATTATCTTGACTAAGACAGGGAGATGTGTTCCCAGGAAGAGGGGAGGGGAACAGAAAGGGAGGCGCAAGGAAGGCAAGGAATGAGAAGAAGGAATTCAAAGAACCGAGAGGCGTAGGCACACAGTGAGGCTGGGGGATGCAGGAGCCCATCAGAGCCCTCAGGCCACCTTACCCAGAGTTTGTATCCAAGAGATGAGAGGGGGTTCTCACAAGATTTTAAGCTAAGGCGTGGGTGCTATGGTTGATTTTGCATTTTAAGAGGTCATTGTTTTGTTTTGTTTTGTTTGTCTTTTATCTGGAAAAGGCTGTGAGTTTTCTGTGCTTAAAAATATTCCCTAATCATAGCCAGCCATGGTGGCACATGCCCATAATCCCAGAATGACGGAGGCATGAGGACCTGGGGTGTGGTGCTACTATGCCCCATAGACAAGAAGATGGACAGCAAGGGAGACTTTTATCCCCAGGTGTTGGGGAGTCCCTTTCTGGTGGCATTTGCGTAGAGGGGACCTGGAGAGGCAAGGGAATGAGAGGCAGATCTGCCTTTAGGAGTGGCCTGCCGAAGCTGAAAGGTGCCCCCTCATTTAACAACAGGGAACTTGAGCAAAACGGAAGACAAGCAAGCTGTACTAGACTGCCACAGGGACTTCCATTGCGCCCCACCCCTCAGATTCCAATCCCAGGGAGCCTCCATGACTAACTTGTGAGGTGAACGACAATGATTGCCAGGCAGGCAGAGCTTTGGTGAGCCCAACAGAGTGTGAGGCGAGCCACACACAATGTCCAATACTCCAGTAGCTACATTTCAAAAGTAAACACGAAAGGTTAATTTTAATAACATGGAGCATTTCACCATAGTATTTTGGTATCTAATGAACATTTAACGTTGCGCTGGTATTATTTTATCTCTTAATTTGCATGCCGTGTTTTCAAATCTGGTGTATATGTTACAATTAAAGTGAGCATGTATTTCAACCTGGACCAAACACCTCCACTCCTATCAGCAGGGTAGTCTTGGGCATGGGGGCATGTTGTTGGCATGTTCTCTTAGGATGCTGTAAGAAGCCCAGTCCAACCCCATGAATCCACCCCGTGGAGGAGGAAGGGGACACAGCTGCTTCCACTGCTGAGCTCACAAGGGTGGCGGCACTGCTTCCTGATACCCCTGGAATTTGGATTCTGTAGCTACAGTGGACCATGTTGGTCGAGGCCACACAAAACAAAGCTCAAACTGTATAATGCTGTTGCTGGTTTAAGCCATTCAATTACCCGGTGGCTTGTTCCCTGACAACAGGTAGCACATACAGGTGTTATCTAGGACACAGGTAGATGGAACGTGCATGATTTTCTTCTATCCTGTAAGCACTTGTTCATTTTCATGTTGACTATACTAAATGTTCTGTTATAGCTGATAGCAGGCACAAAAGAGAGGATCTTAGGCACCGTCTGTGTGGCATTCAGAACATGCTTGGAAGACACTGTGCTTCGTGATGGTATTGCTCAGGAGCCTGGAGCTGGAGCTCCAATCCTGGCCTGGCTACTAATTTGCAAGGGGATCCAAGGTAATCCAGATCGCCTCTCAGCATCTTTTTCATAAGCAGTTCATGATGATTAAGGAGCTGTGTACATGGAAGAGAACAGAAAGCCTAGGCAAAGATGTTAAAACACCAGTAAACGAACAAATGGGTGAAAATGAACAAAACAAATGACTAGCGGGAGAATACCACAGCGCATGGGGTGGCTAAACCCAAGGATTCCACCTGTGTAGGTGTTGGAATCACCTGAGGAAACACGAGGAGCAGAGGTGCAGGTGGAGCAGGATGCAGCTGCCTGATGCTCTGTGAGCACTTACTATGCTCCAAGAAGCATGCAAGAGAGGGAGTCTATTTGCATTTGTATAGTTGCCAAGGCAACACAATGATCCTTCAAAGTGGGCAAAGTTAGTTTAGAACTCAACAAAGAAATGGGATGCCACTCAGAAGTGAGTGGGGTAGAAGACTGCCTTTAAAGAAGATTCTGTTCAGTTGGGTGGTGCAAGCCTTTAAACCCAACACTCTGGAGGCACAGGCAGGAGGGTCTCTGTGAGATCAAGGCCACCCTGGTTTACAGAGCTAGTGAGTTCCGGGACAGCCAAGAATACACAGAGAAAGTCTGTCTCAAAAACCAAAAAATTAAAAAGAATAGCATTCTGTCTAACAGATGAGTGGAAGAAAACAGAAATTGGACTTAGGAAAAGGTGGAGGCAGGAGGCAGAGCAAGAGATTTGCATGATATCTTGGGGAGGAAGTGTAGGAAAGGTAGGAAGAGGGAGAAAAAGAGAGGGTACATTGAAAAGAAGAAAGAAAAAAAAAGAAAAGAAACATAAGAGCAACAGTGTTAGGGAACCCAGCATGGGCAGATCCAGCAGAGCCTGCTTCAAGGGTGTGAGACACAGCAGTTCCCTTTGTCCCTGTACTTAGAAGGCCAGTTTAGAAAGGCTCTATGCTCAGTTTGATCCTCTACTGTCCCCACTTGCATTTTTAATTCTTCACCAAGGAGCCCCAGGCTTGGACACCTAATTCTGATGCAGGATGCTCAGAGTGAGGAAACTCCTGTGCACTGAGTTTCACTCTGAAGTACACAGGTATCACTATGCCACATGATCTCAAGTCTGTGAGGTGATGGATGAAATGAGAGTTGTGAACACAGACAAGAAACACCCACAACCAAGGCTGGAGAAGTAGCAGAAGTAAACCTGGGGACTTGAGAAGAATAGCACATGCCTCCTTGGAGTTCAGCCCTCATGGTATGCCTGCCGACACACACACACACACACACACACACACACACACACACACACACACACACACACACACACACACAAACACCTTTAAAGCATCTATTGATCTAGTTATTCATTTGCCTAGTGTTTTATTAATGCTCTGAGAATGCCAGGTTCCATGACATCTTAAGGAATTAACAGAAGTAAGCAAGTCCAGGCCTTCCTTTGGGAATCTCTCAGTGTTTTCAAAAAGCAAGGTGCTTCAAAAATACAATTTAAGAAAGAACTTATTGTGCTAAAGACTAAGAGATCGTCACCACTGGGTCTGAGTGGTTGGTGTAAGGTGCAGAGTTGAGACTTGGCTTTTTATCTTTCTTTCTTCATTCATGTTGCTAGCAGCTCTGCTTTTGGGCATCCCAAAACACAGCCATCCTTCTTAGCCAGTGGGAATCCCCGGCTCTCCTTTGGATTGCAACATCACTTCCCCTCCATCTCTAAAGGCCTGGGAGGGACCCCTCAGGTCAGCATACACAGGCATTCCAGACATTCTTTGGTTGAGACGTGAGGACAAAGCATGGTATGAAGAGAGAACAAAGTGTAAATTCCCACCACAGGCAGAAGGAATCAAGATGGCGGCTCTAAGGGATACTCTAGAATCAAGACCAGAAAAGCCCTTCCTGAAAAAAAGAAAAGCCAAATCAAAGGAAACAGACCATTCTACCCTTCAAACAGCATTCCTAGAGGCTGTGGTAAGAGACTCCAAGAAAGGGTTGGCCACTCTATTAGAACTCCTGGCTCCCCATCCCTTCATAAACACCATTTCAGGAAGGCTACAGTTTTACATGATTCCTAAGCTGCCAAAAATGTACAGTGCACACAGACAGCTCCCCCTGTTCCAACATGTTTTATAAACATAACAAGCCATAGCAGCCACCCCAGATGTTTTCACAACTTATTTTTTTCATAATTTAAAATCTGTTCGACCTGATGTTTTTTGCTCCGTGTGCATTTCAACTGTAAAAAAGGAAACTGAAATATTATTCATGTGGTGCTATGCTGTTACACCTAATTTCTTCTCAAGTTCACACTAAACTGAAACGTCTCTAGGAACCTTAAAAAAGGCAACAGCCGAGAAAGTGAGGAAATATGTCAAGGGCTTGTAAATAAACAGCTGGCTCCCAACATATGGATTTTCTTCCATATTTTTCAGGTGCCACAATCCCCCATCCGTATCTGCCAGCCCTGCAGCACACGGCATAACTCAACTGTAATTGATAATGTAAGGGCAGATGGAGGGGACTGTCAGCTCCTCCCTCAAGTCTCTGGGGACTCTGCAGAAATCAAAGCAGATGGCCCGATCGCGTCTTCTTTATGTGTTGCTGTGAGCTTCTCTGTCTGTGGGATAATGGATCATTATGGCCTGCTGTGTACAAACACCAATATGCTTTTAAATCTGGTTCTCAGGCTTATGAAAAAGCACTATATTTCATATTAATTTGTGGAGCTGCACTTAACAAGGTCCACTGTTGTTAATTTACGATTTGGAAGGGTGGGAAGGAGAAGTTCCCATGGAGCTCTCTGCCCTGGCACCTCCCCTCCCCCAACCTGACTTTCTGGAGCCCTCAACTAGCCTTGTCTCCCCTCCAAGCCAGTGGTGATCAAGCATAGTGGTCACCGAAGGCTCAGTGCAGGCTGATAGGAAACTCCATGCCCAGTCTGCTCCAATAGAGCTTCCAAGGGGGAAAAGGCCCACGAAGAAGCTAAACAGAGAGCTTGTCAGGACACCTGGGTGTCTGCTTTGAATGGGCCATTTCTTTTCTATTATTAAACACTGTAGCATGCCTACTACATGCTAGAAAGTGCTCCCAGGATAGAGGCGGGCCAGGGAGATATGAATGACCTCACTCTCTAGCATCCTTTGGCTTCAGAAAACTCAATGGAAAGTTCCTGAAGAATTTGCTTGGGCTACGCCCAGACAGTCATGAAACATGGAAACAGAATATATATGCCCTGCTCAGAACAAGACCCAGGATCCAACTAAGCATTGGCCAGGTGACAAAACATGCAGGAGATGTTGAGGCCTTGTGTATTTTTATGCAATGGGGTGGAGGAACTTGTGGAAATGTGAACTGGATGGAGAAAGTATTCCATTCCCCTGCTCTTGGCTGGGGGCCTGCCTGTTCCCCTTGGTCCTATTACTAAGTCTTCAGGCCAGCTGCATATACAGTCTTTTCCCTATGTGCTAGTAACCAATGGCTCAAAGAAGGAGATATCACTCAAGTGACTAGGGCTGCTGGCAGGTGGTAAGACTCTGGGCAGGGGCCCACTGCTTGATGAAACAGATTTTGGGAGGTCAGGAAGCTGGGGAGATAGCTGTGCCAGTCAGAATAAGCCTTCTTGCTGGCCAGGGAGAGCAGAGGTCACAGGTTTGTAGTTCCTGCCTTTGGGTATTAAAAGTTCATCTGTCATCTCTTTTTTTTTTCCCCAAGGCCAAAATCATTAAATTTCTAGAGAAGAGTCATAGCCTTATCTTACATGGCTCCCTATAACTTTGCTTCAGAATATCCTAGAAGCATCTTGCCCTCATGTCTTGTGTCTCACAATTTAAGACAGTGATATGAAAAATAGCAATGACTGACCCAGTAGACGTTAGGCACTGTAGGCTTGGGGTGCGGCTTGGTAGGGCCATGTGTGCCTCATGTACATAAGGCCGGAGGTTCCACTCTCTATATTTTTAACAAATAAAAAGAAAGTAGGAAATGTTCTATATGTAAAGTCAGAGTTCTAGAATCTGAATTTTCAGATCTGATGATGCAGAGATATGTTACTGGAGCAATTGTCACTGAGAACTAAAGACAGTGAGGAGTTCTGACTGGCTACTGCCTGGGTGGATGCCGTCTAGAACCATCCATCAGGGATGGCTTCCATTTTACTTGGCTCTGGGAACTACAGTTCCCTGAGGTGGGGTGGGGGACAGCTTCCTCTCACAGAGCAACCACAAGAGGAAAACCAACCCCTGCATGACAGTCCCTAAGTGCATTTTTGTCTGACTAACAGGAATTAATTATATAGCAGTCATAAATGAGATGCAGTGCCTCTCAGCCATCACTTCAGTGGTTCACTTCACTTTGATTCCGTCCTGATGAAGGGCAGAACAGTTCATGGTTTGTCATGAAGGAAGCCTGAGATATGATTGCACCCAATTGTCCAGAGCCAGGGCTATGAGTAGGCTTTTTTCAGAATTGCAGCTCTAGGAAACACTAGAAGAAAACAGGCCAGACAACAGCAGTAGAAATAAGACCCAACAGTTAGGATTTCCAGGACTTTCTAACTAACTTATTCCCCAAACTTGCACATTCCCCTCCAGTGATGACAGCAACTTGTGGTACCCAGTTATCCTCACCTACTGTGTCCATTAACATATAGAGTGAAAGCAGAGGCACCTCAGCAGGGCTGTGTTGTGCATAATGCATCCCATTCACCTTTTGGGAGCTCAAAATTTATTAATTCACTCACCCCTTAATATGTTCAACTTAATATGTAAGGAATAAACAGGACGAACTACCAGACTCCTGCCAGGTCAACCACTTTGTTGTCATTTAATGATGACAATATATGTACCCATTTTAATATTTGTTCCTAGACAGATGTTTTATTCACCATCTCCTCCCTTTACTGAACTCTAGCTTTGGAAATAGGAAAACACTCAGCTCTCTGCCTTAAGCAGTGGGAAATGCAGCTGCAGCCATGAAGGACCCTGGAAGCATAGTATAAAGGCACATTTGGGGACCCTCTGGTGGCATCTTCTCACAGACTTCTAAAAGAATGGACCACTGTAGCCTGGCTGCCTGGAGGTAAGTGCTGACTGCCCTGGTTATCTTCCAAGTGGCCCCAAAGGTTTTAAAGCTCTCATAGTCACATATGGTGAGCACAGCCTTTAGGGCCAGATGTACCTGAGTTCAAATTTTGGGTGTGTACTAACCTGCTGTGCAGTCTTGGGTTTCTCTGGATCGTTAATCTTCCCTTGGACAAACTCAAATTATCATTCATCAAGTTATTTATGACAAAAAGGTAAGCCTGCAAGCAGACCTCTAATACAGAACACAGTATATGCTATGCGTGGCCATCCCCCATCTTCAGAGGCAGACTCATTGTAGTTAGAGTACACGTTGTACTCTAAGACGTTTGGAATGAAGAGGTTTGTTTGCTTGCCCAGTCTACCATTTGAACTAAAGTTCTGTTCACCAGGATTACAAACGCACCTCCAATACCCTTGCCCAAACAAAAACAGATCCATTTTTCTTCCTCCAGAAATTGAAGGATTTCCAAGCCAGAAAATCCAAAAGAAAGTACAGGAGACAGTGTCCTCATGATTGGAGTCTCAGTTTGCACTTTGGAGGTGTCACCTCTCTGAGGGGAAAGAAGACAAGCTCTGAATTACAGCATTGGCTTGTGGGAGTTGAGGGTGTCCTGGCCTTGAGGCCATAGCTCCTCACAGTAAGTTGATCTTTGATTTTGCACACCCTACCTCTTGGTCTAGGGGAAGCCTGAATCTTCATACTGTTGCCACAGTAATAGCCAGGTGTGCTTTGTGAAAATCAGAGTGTGTTTGTTGCAAGCTTGTAGGGGACTGAGTTCCACAGAGAAACAGGGCTGAGATGGAGCTACACACCCACAGTGGGACAGTGCCCCTACCTACCTGGAATGCCATACACCAGACATGTTTTGAAGTTAAATGGGAACCCTAAATACACCAAAACCTACCAAATACCACATGCAAGGAGTGTCTCCCTTACTATTGATGAGGACCTAGGCCAGAATGCTAAAGCACACGGGTTCCAGGGGAAGGAATAGAATTATATTAGAGGACATTTGTGAGCTCAGGTGGTCACCCTGAAAGGGTTGACAATGATCACTTTACGGGGCACGTGATGGCAAGGCATCCTTTGTGGTGGTTGATTATCAAATTGGGCATGCACGCTTATCAACCAAATAACAGCAATAACAGATGGGTAACAGAATGAACATGCCTGTCCATTTCCAGTGCTCCAGGTACCACATCAAGCATTACGCCTGCTTTGTCCCACTTATTGTCCCTCGTGCAGCCTGAGGTTGGCCATATTATCAGTCCCATTCTGTAGATTAGGAAACCAGAGCCTATAAATATCAAATGGAGGTTTCCTCGGATTCAAACCAGGTCGGGGAGTTGAATGAATCCCTGAGCTCTGAAAGAAGATGCTACATCGAGAGGGGTTATTTCTCATGGTTGTTAGAGCTGGTGTGTGGCTGTTAGGTCCTTCTGCCCTCCTGGGTTCAAGCAGTGGGCCCTCCATGTGCTCCCTTCAGGATGTCTCTTAAAAGCCAAATCACAAACTCTGCCTGAGCGATCCTGCCATTGGGAACTTCACTACTTGAGCAGGCAGTAACAAGACTTCAATGCTTACACTCCTTGAGCAGCTTTAGAGGTTTTGTGTGCTCAGAATTATCAAGGAATACAGAACTGGGGCAAGTCATAAATTGGAAGAAACTATGAAAAAAATACCAACAGAATTCAGCGTGGGACCCTGGGTTGGACCACAGAAGAGAAACAGAACACCTGGGAGAGGTTGGGGAAATCCCAGTAAGGCCTTGTTAGCATCTCCCCATCAGAGTCACCCTGGTCTTTATTTTTGTGCCACAGTTCTGATGTCATGATGTAAATGCCTCAGGGAGTATACAGAAACTGTCTTTTCAACTGTCAGAAGTAGGAAGTAAGTTTAAATGATAAAGTCCAGGAAATAAAGGGAATTAGGATGCAGCTGAATAAAGGAGAGGGAACACCTTATTCTAGGGTTTGCTCTGTGCAGAAGAGGAGGCACCAGTAAGTAAGCAGCCTGGAGTCCTCTCTGCAGGACCACACAGCCGTCTGCAGACCTTGGAAGTCTCTTTCTCATGCTCAGCACCCCTGTCTACCCAGGGCTGAGCCTTGACTTCCCTGGGACATGACTTTTATGCCTCAAGCCTCAGCAAATCTGAGTGATAAAGAACCCAGGGCTTGGTGGCAACCTCTCCCCGGGAGAGGAAGTGTTGAGCTGCATTTTGGAGCTAACACAACTCTCCAAGAACTAACGGTGAACCACTCACAGGAGGGCAGGACCCCATCCCTGGGTCAATATGATATCTGACTATGCTCCATGAAAAACTACTAGTGAATTACTTGGGTGAGTGAGTAGGTGACCATCAACCAGGTCTTTGGTCCTAATAAATTCAACAATTCAATGTTTGATTGAACTTTCCTTTGAAAACAGCTTCATTATATATATATATGTATATACATATATATATAGTACTTCATATATTATGTGTATATATTTCATGTATAGGAAACACTTTTTATGAAATTGCTTGGAGTTTACTTTGAAATTGACATTAGTGTGGAGTTGTAAGGGTTGAATATTTTTGCAGCTTGTCATACCTGTATGTTATGATGATCTGACAGAAGTGGAATATTGACAGGGGCTCCTGACATCCTAGGTAAAGAAAATGAGGGAGTAAGTTCATTTGTTAGTCTTAAGCTTTCTCCTTTTAAAGGACTGGGAGGCTGGGGAGCTGGACTGGGCTGGCGGTCAAGAACAGTGGCTGCTCTTGTAGAGGACTTGGGTTTGTTTCCCAGAACCCACATGGTGACTCACAACTATCTGTAACTTTGGTTCCAGGGTTTTCAATGCTTCCTCTGGTCTCTTCAGGGACCAGGTACACATGCGGTGTTTAAGTGCATATGCATACATAGAAGCAAAAGAAAAAAGGCAAAATGCTCATACATATAAAGCAAATCTTAAAATAAATCTGCCACCAGTCCCTTCCCAAGTCTTCTTTCCTATGTTACATATTTGTTTGCTGTTCCTCTCTCTTTCTCTGTCTCTATCTCTGTCTGTCTGTCTTTCTCTGTGTGTGTGTGTGTGTGTGTGTGTGTGTGCCTCAACTGCATGAATATATCATAAAACCAACAACTAGATATCTGTTCATCATCTATCGTCATCCTGGTACCCACAAAGTTGATAACGTCCCATAGATGGGTTCTCAATGAACAGTGGCCAAATTCTTACATTTCTCCCAGATTTGTAAAGCTCTGCACAAGTCACAGGCTGCTGTGGCAGAGCTCATCTGTGTCTCCCAAGAGTCCAGTGAGACCCTTAGAAATTGCGGCAGGGAGTGATGAGGGGAGTTCACATAGCCCAACATCAAGAAGTAAGTCCTGACCTCCCACTGTGGCTGCTCCTGTCCTCAAATCTTAAAAAGTTGTCAAAGCTGAGACCCAGACTTCCAGCCCCTCCCCACCCCCAGCAGACCCCTGGCTGGGTGGGCATCGATCGCAGCCGGACCTTGCCCCCACCCTCCTAGTGTATGCGAGCAATGTGAGCTACTTTGCTTTTCCTTGTCACATACCAGAGTGTCTTGCCTTTCTTAATAAGCTCTTTTGTATCAGGAAGCTTTCAGAAAGAATATCATAACAACGCCAGAACACTGCAGATTGTATGTCTCTCCTCTCTGGTTATGCGGCTCTTCTTTTTTTTTTTTAAACTCTGCCTCATTGTCTGTTCTTGAGCTCAATGGAAATTATTAAGGCAATCTTTCTTGCAGATGAATTGGTATAGAAGCAATGACTTTAATAGACAGGAATCCTTTGTTACTTTTCAAGTCCACTGATAGAGTGGTCATTTCCTTAACAGGTGCCAATTCCGTCTTTCCTGAATAGAGGGTCAAGAT